CCTATGGTCGTCATGGCGGCCATAAAATCCTGAGCTGCGCCAGACAAAGAGGTCTCAGCATGAATGTTAAAATCTCCCAACACCACCAAGCGCTGGGAGACCAGGGCCGAATTAGAGACCACCTCTGCTAGCTCAGACAGGGAAACTACTGGGTCGCGGGGTGGGCGGTACACCAGCAGAAACCCCACACTGTCAAGGTTCCCCACCCTCAGGTGGACACACTCAAACCCAGGAGCTTGCAGTACAGCGCATCCGGTCACGGCGATGGATTGCCGAAAGACCACTGCGACCCCTCCTCCCCGCCCCCCTTGTCTGGCCTGCTGATGCACCCCGAAACCCGGTGGGCACAGCTGGGTGAGATTTACTCCCCCCAGCTCATCCAGCCAGGTTTCCGTGATGCATGCCAGATCCGCTCTCTCATCCAGAATCAGGTCCTGAATGGCAGAGGTCTTACCATTAATGGATCTGGCATTGATCAGCAGGACCTTAAGACCGAGGGGACTGCCATGGCGCCTACCACTTCCTACCTTCTCCAGGGTCGCAAGAACTCTGTTGCGCTTCTCCCTGGGATGATGGTGACCCACGAGTCTCCTCCCCCACATGACTTGGATGGCGCCCACCTCCTCAGCCCCCCCCCCCACCTGGTTAGAACCTGTGGCTAGTCAACTCTCGGAAGAGGTAAGGCTGGAGTACAATCTCCCTTGGATGTTAGGTAGGGATGCTTCCGATGATGGAGTGGATGGAGAATCAGCAAATGAGCTAAGTGGACTGAATAGGGGAAGTGTCCTTGGGCGAGAAAGAGTGGCTGATTGTGAAGGGACAACTGGGGCAGATGGGGTCTCGAGTTGTAAAGGGACAACTGGGACAGATGGGGTCTCGAATTGGTACAAACCAGGAGGGGGGGCCCTAACCGGGGAGCTGTCTGTGGAATTCTCGTGGGGGCCTGATGGAACAGAGCGAGAAGTCACCCCGCTGTCAAGGAGGGGGCGAATGAAGGGGTCCACAACTACCCTTCTGATGGTGATGCCCCATTTCTTTAGACAGGATTGCATTGTCATTAGCTCGCCAAGCCATCGGTTGTCTTCTGGTGTAATTAGAAGACGCGAGGAACGGTCAGGAGATTGATAGTCCCTCCACAGCCATGTAATGGCCTCCAATCTTATTTCCTGTGGTCTCTTTCCTAAAATTTGAGCTAATGAATCACAGACCGCCCTCCTAGAGGTCCATCTGCCTCTGTTTCTCATTAGGTCAGCAATGTCCACCGCAAAATTGTCTGTTAGGAGATGTTGGTCCTGAACACGAGCTGCGGTTGGCTGAGCCATATGATCTGATGTTACATTATTGGTTGTCGTCAGAGGGCCCGTCAGAGTCTGCTGCCACTCCCTGATGTTCTCATTCCTATGTATGCCCGACAACCCTCCCCCACCCTCAGTCAGCTTATCATACATTCCTCCTTCCACTCCAGGAGCCAAGGTGCCGTTCTCCCCACTAGGGCCCAAATCCTTAGTCAGATCCGCACACAAAGGATTATCTGTCCTTGGAGGATCGGATTGCACTGAAGTTCCTGATAAGGAGTCAAGGCCTCTGAAAAGATGGTCCATTTTCTCATTCAGGATCTTAAGTTGAACACTGAGAAATGAAAAAAGAGACCTGGATACAGAAACCAAAAGCTTCTCCAACTACAGCATAGAAGATCATGCACCATTTTAAAAACCTCAAGAGTGAAACTTGAGAGAGAAGCTGAGAGCAGCTTTGCAATCTGGAAGAAATATTCTAAAATTTTCTCTTTTCTCTATGATGGAACATTGGAAGAATTGGGCTCTCTTCCAATTGGGCTCTCTTCCAAGTGAGGGCTTCCCTTCAGACCTTAAGAAAATGGAGTCCTGAGCATCCAAGCACACAGTTCTTTGGCGTTATTAGACTAAGGAAGAAAGCTTCCCACCACATGAATAGCAACACACCGCACAAGGAATACTGGCTATTAATGACCTTAAGCACATGCCCTCCACAAAATAATCCCAATACTGTTGTCTTAACTAATGAAAAGCCCAGCCAAATCCTGTGATTTTTCTCTGTTCTCTATTTGTTTCTTGTCAATAAATCAGAGTACAAGTAAACTGGATTTTCTGTTGCCACTTGCTTGTAAATCTTTTATGACCACTGAACTTACTTCACTCCTGTTACTAAAATTAAAATGTATTGCACTGCAAGCTCAGCCTGTGTGAACAAATCCCCACTGTCAGGACTTGTTCTTCCAAACCGCTGGGACTGCAGTTTGTAAGCACACTCCTCTCGTATTGCTCCCCAAACACATGCTGTCCCACAGAAATAACAAGAAAGAATAAGCCAGTTTGTGAGGTTCAAAAAGTACCCCTTTGCAGGTCCTGTCCTCCTTGGAATTTTTTTGTATGCTGACAAACAAGCAATCGAGGAGGATATACCAAACATCAGTGCTGCTGTTTGCGAGTAAAAGTAATACAAACATTACTACAACTACCTACAGCTAGTTTAAAGTGATTCAAAGAAGCTTTGGCTTTCCTGCTGTATGCACGTATTTCTTTGGCTCCTACTGCTGCCTCTGGTAAGAAAAAGTTTTCTTATCTGTATGTTGTTTTTAAAAAATAATAATGAGGAAGCCAATTTACAAGAGACAAAAGTTGGATGAGCGAACACAACAGGAATGTCTTTCACATCACCTTCAGCCCTCTGGGAGAAATAAACTCTCATTTAACTAGCCTTAGCATTTTTAATCAAGCAGGAGGCCTCCTCCTATGCATATTAATACAAAACTATGTCCTCTTGAGTTAGACCGAACTCCAACTAAGGATGTATAATGGGAGTAAACACCTAAAGAAGATCAGGGGCTGCATTAGCCCCATGGAAATCTTGGAGGGCTTCAGGCCCCTTCATTCCACCCCAGAGCCTGTCATGTTTTTAGCCCCACTAGGCTAGCTAGGTAATGCGGCTTGAGAACTGGGCTATGAAAATTTGCCAAAACAAACACAAACCGTTATACGGTTACAATAAGTTGGAAATAACTTTAAGGTATAAAACATCAATAATAACGTCATTTTAGGTCCATGCGTGCCTATTTAGCACAGCAGCTGCAGCTGCAGTAAACCTTGCCAACCGAAAGGTTGAAAGCTAGGTCAAGGTGAGCTCCTGACCAGCCTAGTTCCTAGCAGATCAAAAACAGGAATGTGAATAGATAAACAGGAGCCACATTAAAGCGGGGAGGTATTTTAGGCATAGTGTTTCAATCAGAAAAAGAAGGAAAAGTATCTTGGAAAGGAAATGGAGCAACAGTATCAACTGTGGTCAGAACCGAGCACAGCCTTCAAAGATGCTGAACAGATGGGGGAAAGGCTATATAATACCTCTATCTGTTGTCTGCCTTGTCAATGTATAATCAACACTGAATGTTTGTTGTATGTGTGCTCTGCGATCCGCTCTGAAACCCCTTTGGGGTGAGAAGGGCAGAATATAAAGACTGTAAATAAATAAAATAAATAAATTTTTAACAACAGGAGGTGAGAAATTTAGGGGGGGGGGGGTGACAATAATGATCCTGGGGGATCACTTTGCCCATTTTTGCTCTATAGAACTAATGACCTACGTCAATCAAAAATATAAAATAGCATTGAGAAAACAGGCAGGAAATCACCAGATGACCCAGGGCAGTAAGTAGAAGTGGAGAGCTGGCTTCAACAATAGGGCATAAGTGCATTCTTTCAAGTCCTGGGTAAATGCTGTGAGCACTAGCACCACTAGCCAAGATGTGTCATCAATCATGGTGAAGTACTCAGGACAATATCTTCCCTGAGAGAAGCTAAATGTTCTTCACTTCTTCAGCAAACAGGGCTCCCTTCACAATGAGATTTAAAATTAATCCTTAGTAATTTAGTTTTCCTGCAGGCTCTCTCACTTGGGCTACCATCTCAAACTCAGATACTACTTTTCTAGTTAGCAGAAAGAGTTAATTAGCAGCTCCCAGATTCTAGAATTCCTTCCCAAGAGAGACCAGGGTGGCCCCATCCCTGCTGGCCATCTGTAAGCAGGCCAAGACATTCATCTGCCAACAGGCATTTGGGAGGGGTAAGGGACAGGCTCTGGGTGGAATTAGGGAGATTGGGGAGGGATATGAGTTTTAAAGGCCATTTTAGTGTGTTTACTATATTTTAATTCTGTCTTTACCACACTGTTAGTATTTGGGTTTTTTTTTTTTAACTTTGGTATTGCACTTTTAAAACTTGTCTAGTGTGGATTGTTAGCCACCTTGAGTCCCCGCAGGGAGAACAGTGGAGAATAAATAGATGATAGAATAATAATAATAATAACAATAATTTGTTCAGACCAAAAATTTTGCTCTTCTCTCAGCAAGAATTGCTTGAATTCTTATTATGTTTGAAGACAAGAATAATGGAGGAGCAGACCCCCTCCTGTGGTGGTGCCTGGGGATTTCTCTGTTCATATTGCCAGGTTGCTGAATTGGTTTAAGCTATTGATGAAAAGAGTTGGCATGGTATAATAGATGGGGCATTAGATGATGATGCTCGATTTTTTAATCTGTGCTTAGCCAAAGAATCCCACTGGGCAATTTAGGCAAGATATCCTCCCAAACAAATCTTGCCAGAAAATTCCATGATAGTAGGTATATCTTAAGTTGAAGGCACACAGCAACAAATTGATTAAAAACATTCTCTTTATGATGGCATTTCAGTGCTACCACTGCTGTCTGTTTTTGCTGGTCTGGAAACTAATGTTTTCTCTTACAAAAATGTTAGATACACACACACACACACACACACACACACACACACACATTGCTGCAAGCTTTTTTTAAAAAAAATATCCTATGTCCCATTTTTTTTTGAAAACAAAAAACAACCACAACAACACACACTCGGAGAAGTAGGATTAACAAAAGATAGGTGTATGTTGACTTCAGGCTCATTATTCCAACAAATGGCAGCAGAGATAAAATTGAATAATGTCATTACCAGTATCTCCTTCTGGATGGGAATCACCCCGGAAATCCAGGTAGTTGCTGTTGAGGATCAGCATAGGGTCCTTGTCTTCCTGCAGATAGGTTTGGGGGTCTCCCCTGAGGCCTTGGTAGGAGACTTTCCGAGGCAGACTGAGACAAAGTTCCTTCCAGAAATCAGATGAAGGCACCTAGAGGCAGCCAAAACAAAGGAGCAGCCACTGTCATATCCTTGTTTACCAGCCATAAAAACAGTAAGACCTCTGTATCTACAAAATCTACATTTCAAAACCCCACTGCAAACCTATACAAGGGCTGCAAATATACCATAGAATTGGATTGGAGGCCTGGCATCATCATCATGATGATGATTATTATTAACAACAACAACAACAACAACAAATTTTATTTATTACCCGCCTCTCCTGATGGCTTGAGGCAGGGTGAAACAAATTCAAAAACAAATGAATATATAAAAATACAATTACTAAATTTCATATATACACAAACACACTCACACATATGAAAACTTATACCAAACACAGCTACAGAATTGACATAGTGGTAACAGAATGCAAAACAAAACTCATGATTGAAAGTTGACTAGGTAGGCCTGCTGGAAGAGATGAGTCTTCAATTGCGTTTTCAATTCTGACACCTCGTTTAGTTGTGGGCTCTCTTCCAGCAGGTCATTCCAGTCTTGGGACAGCCGATGAAAACGTCCTCTGGGTGGCAGTCGCAGTTGGGTTCTGGCTAGTTGGAGGACTTCAGTGTGCAGGAGAAGATAACCTGGACTCAAATTATGTAGGGCTTTAAAGGTCAAAACCAACACTTTGTACTTTGCCTGGAAACTAATTGGCACCCACTGGAGTGATTTCAATATGGGTGTAATTTGTTCACTTCCTAAACCAATCTAACTACAATGTTTTGAACTAATTGGAGTTTCTCAACTTGGTACAGGGGTAACCTAATGTACATTACAGAAATCCAACCTTGAGGTTACCAGTGCATACACCACCATCTTCCTGAAATTCTAGGAAGGGTTACAGCTGGCATATCAGATGAAGCTGGTAGTAAGCACTCCTGACTGTTACATCTGCATGGGCAGACATTTGGAGAGACGAATCCAAGAGTACTCCCAAACTTGAACACAATCTTTCAGGGATAGTGTAGCCCCATCCAGAACTGGTTAACCCACCTCCATTCCTAGGTCAGGACTTTTGATGGCAAGGCTGGGTTCATTTTCAATTTGTTTTTCCTCATCCAGCCCATTACCAGGCATTCATTCAGAGGAGACACACTATCCTTAGCTAAGGCTGTTTTTGAAAAAATGGAAAAATATATTTGGGTGCCATGAGCATACTGATAACACCCTGCCCCATGCAAGGCCCACAAACATTTCCAGAGGGAATATTTTAGGGGAGAGTGGGTAAGATCTGTGTGTGTGTGTGTGTGTGTGTGTGTGTGTCAGGAGCAACTTGAGAAACAGCAAGTCACTACTGGTGTGAGAGAATTAGCTGTCTGCAAGGACGTTGCCCAGGAGACACCAGGATGTTTGATGTTTTCCTATCCTGTGGGAGGCTTCTTTCATGTCCCCACATGGGAAGCTAGAGCTGAGAAGGGAGCTCACCCCACTCCCCACATTCAAATCACCAACCTGTCTGTCAGCAGTTCAGCTGGCACAAAGGTTTAACCCATTGCGCCACTGGGGGTTCCAGTAGGTAAGTGAAACCACAGATTTAAAATCCATGGCTAAGGGAGATGTACTCTACTCTCTTTTGCAATATATCGCTCAACAGGTCCTTGCAACTCTGATTTTGGCAGGCAGTCTGTGAAGTATCTGGCTCCGAAAGAGAGGGATATAATATATTCTATTACTATAGAGGAACTTAGGGTCCAATAAGCAGCGCAGCAATTTAGCTTTTGTTTCATCTCCAAGATGAAACATGCAGCAAAAATCCAAGAGCCATTAAGTAGCATTACTCCTGATGGAAGGCTTTCATGGCCACATGAAGCAACAGAATCTGCATTTCTTTTAACTAAGGATTTCAGAGCAACTATAAATCTGAGTGATTTTTTAAAAAAGCAACAACATGTACTATTTGGGGTGGGGGAGGAACGTGTGGGCAGTAGCCAGTGAAAGCTCCAAAACTGGAAAGAGACTTGGACCAGTAAAATGCCTGCTGTAGAATCCCTTCCTGCTCTTGCTGTTTCCTGAATGTTTCACAATATTGTGATGCAAGTCCAATCTCATGTAATTCTTTGTGAGAATATCCTCCTGCCAAAACCTTGCAAAAAAAAAATCCAGATTTTTTGACACCTTCTAGCAAAGAATACATTACACAAGAAGTGATTCTATGGAATGATGCAAAGTATTCATAAAGCATATTCAGAGCATTTACTCTTGAGGAGAAAATGACGTGGGACAGGCATTAAAATTTATATATCTCAAGCTGCCTGCACTCTCAGAGTACAGTGGCATAACTGATTGGAACTCCTGCGGAATTTTTCTGTCTCTTCAGGCACAAAAAAGACCTATGTTCCTTCCTGTCCGTTGCCTATACTTTGTTGTTAATTCCCTTCAGCTTCACTGATCTAACAGCATGCGTTCCCTGAACAAAGGGAGGGCAGTGAGTTAGAAAGGCAAGATAGATGCATTTGTATTGGCCACATATAGGCTGTAATAAATATCCTTCTACAGGTCTGCAGACGCTATGCTGTAAATAAAAACAGTAGGGATTTTGAAACATAGAAACATCATCCATTAAAAAACCTCAGTGGTAAATTAAGCCCCCATACATACACTGTGAGCAGTTCAACTGGAGAACCCCATCCCCTCACATCTGAGGTTTTTTCTCGCAAACTAAAGCGCAAGTGACTGAGGAATACAGATTATGAACTGGACAGTAAGCAATCAATTATCTGAAAGCTTGACCAATGAGAATAGCTCTCAGCAATCAATGGGGAAATTTACAACAGGTTTCCTCAGGAACTAGGCATTTCAATGACAGGTGACCTGTACATGTATGTCACTCAGGAAAAACAAACTGTATGTACTAAACTTGATGCGACATAGACATTTTCCTGTTTGTGAAACTAAATACGTTCACCAAATATTTAGCATAATTATCGAGATGTTTAAAACTCAACATACTACAGATTCATTTTAGAATTGGAAATTCAAAACCTAAAATAATTCCGAATATTATGGTCACAAACCCCATTCTTTAAGTAAAATGTTATAACAATTGGATTCGAAACTATCTATCTATCTATCTATCTATCTATCTATCTATCTATCTATCTATCTAAAGTCAAAGCATGCTTGCCAGACTATCTCTTTGTACCGCAAAGGCTGTTGTTAGGTGAAGTTGCCCTCTGTGAGGTCACTGAATTGCTGTTGCTAGGTGAAGGATTGGCTGTTGCTAGGTGAAGTGGCCCCTTGTGATGCCATTGGGAACGAAAGGTGACATGTGTGTGAGGGGAAGGTAGGGAGGAAAAAAAGTGCCACAAAGAGAGCCATGTTGCTATGAAGACATTGTGAGGTAGGCCCTCTCAGAACTGGAGAAGGGAGAAAGGAGAAAGGAAGAAAAGAAATGAAAGGAGAAGGGAGTGGGAGTGGGAGGGAGGCAGAAAGAAAAGGGAAGGAAGAGAAGGGAAAGGAGGGAAAAGGTATGAGGGGTGGAAAGAAGGAGCAAGAAGGGGTGAAAGCAGGGGGGCACAATAGCCCCACTAACACCTGAGCAATGCCAGATATATACAATAATTCATAATATATTCAACTGTGAAAAATCATATTATATATGTGTGCATGCATAGCATTTTTTTCAGAAACAAATATCTTTTGGTTTTTCAAGATAATAAATATTGGGCTGTCCTCCTGACTGAAGGAACTGTGGGAATTTGCTGTAATTAAAACTCATTTTTGCCTTTGGGATCATAACCTGTTCCTGATCTGAAATCTGGTGTTAGTGTATTTGATAGTGTTCTCAAAATATATCTTAATAATCTCTTGTGATAACATTCCAAGATGAACCCTCCTGCATGTTAGATCCAAACAGCAATTACAATATTAAATTAAAATTTAACAAACGTAGAATAAGAAACTTCCATATTCATGCCCAGAATACCAAAGTACCATTCAGTTGTTCAGCTTTTAATTTTACAGAATGGCAGTGCAGCTGCCAACCACCAGAGCTGGAACGTCGAGAGCAGAGGATAATAATTCAAAGTAATGATAGGTTTAAAGATAGGCTCATTGTCCATATACCTTTTGAGGGGGTCTGGACTACAGCTGAAGCCCATGATCTATGCGCATTCATAGTTTATGCTTTAAAAGGTCATTTTCGAAGAGAAATAAAGACACACAAATTTAAGAGAAGGTGAAACATAACTAGTTCTAAAAATAATGAATAAAATTAAATAATCTAAAGGTCAATACACTCAAAGATGCAAGGTGGATTTTCAGCAGCCAGAGAATTTTCCTAATGCTGCTGTGGCTGAAAAGGGAAGTGTGGAGTTATATCCTTTACATATCTTCAGTATTGGAGAGGTATGGAGCCGTGGTGGTGCAATGGGTTAAACCCCTGTGCTGGTTGGACTGCTGACCTGAAGGTTGCTGGTTCGAATCTGCAAGACAGGGTGAGCTGCCGTCTGCCAGTTCTAGCTTGTGGGGACATGAGAGAAGCTTCCCAGCAGGATGGTAACACATCCAGGTGTCTCCTAGGCAACATCTCTGCAGACGGCCAATTCTCTCACATCAGAAGCAACTTGCAGCATGTTCTCAAGTCTCTTTTGATACAATTTAAAAAAAGGATTGGGGAGAGTCGGGATCCCACTGAAAGCTGATCAGGTCTACAAAGTCCCAGGATAAGAGTAGATCAAAGAATGTCCTATTCTCCCCAATAATAATAAGTTGTGTAGCCTTATGCAGGAATAAGATAGGAGGGTTGTTATTGCCAGTGTAGAGAAATATGGATAGTTTTCCCTTGGCAACCATAACTGGAAAATAGCAATTCCCTTTAAGAGGTTTCATTATTTGTGAAAAAGCTGAAAAGGAAAGGAACCATGTACAGCCCTGCCTAGAAGTGCTAGGCACAGGAGGATAGATAGGCATTCGGTGTAAGAAAATGCTGGAGTTTTGAGTTTAACAGTCATCAAAATTATCAAATTGGAATCAGTGCTACATGAC